GTGTGTGTGTGTGTGTGTGTGTGTGTGTGTGTGTGTGTGTGTGTGTTTTCCATTCTTTTGCTGGCTGGGGTGGGGGGAGTACAGGAAGTTTGAGAGGGGTTCAGATGGGAAGATGTTAAAAACTCAAATCCTTCTATGTATAACTACCTAATGTTGTATACTTTACAGTTCTCATATTGTCAAGATTGGCTCCACTGTATGTTTACTTGTTGAACAATTTAATAAAAAAGGAAAAAAAAACAAAAAAACAATTGTATATGATTTACCCAATCGCTAACGTTTGGCCGTGACGTATGCAGTGCACCAGCTTGATACCATGAAGGAAGCTACGCTAAGAAGCTAACCAGAAATTGCGTATAAGTATAACAGAAGGAAGGCAGAAGAACCGAGCCGAACAAAATGGATGTAAATGAGTGCTGCAGGCTTTGTGAGACAAACGGCTTTATTCCTGTTCTCTGCTGCCGCTGCTGAACTGTGCATTCACACCTGACACATTTGGTTCACTTTAAACAGACCAGAGTTCGTTTCCCCCGTTGGTCCGGACCTTTTATGCAGGTGTGAATACAATCATGTGAACCCTGGTGTGGATCAAACAACCGGACCGAGACCCGTTTTTGAGGTGGTCTTGGTCCACTTCCAAGTGAACTTTGGTGCGCTTCACTTCTGGTGTGAATACAGACTGGCCTTAAATCAAACCATCTACAGGAAACACAAACCTTTTTGGACTTCACGAGCCACCGTTGCAAAGTAACATTGGTAGAGATGGGATAAATGGATCTTGGGGAGCCTTATGTTTCACAGAGCCGTTCAAAAGAGCCGTTCGATTTTGAGCGTATTATGTCATCACGTAGGGAAATACGTCATCACGTAGCCGTACGTATGACGTAATCCCATCACGGGGGTGGAGCCATGTGTTTGTCAAGCGGAAACCCCTCTCCCCCTTTCAGTGAGCTTCTGTACTCCACAACTCCGCCTGTTTTCCGTGAAAAAGCAAAGCGGGAGCGATTTAAGTATGAAAAAATAAAGATTATATGAGGAATAAAGGAAAAAAAACTACAAATGGCTCGTTACCGCCCGCGATTCGACTCCTATCGTTTGTTGTAAAAAGCCATTCAAAAGATTCGGATCGTTCGCGAACATCACATCTAGAAACATTAGCCCTTCAGTGTTGCTAATGCTAACACTACGCTACAAACAATGAGTCATTGTGGGTCAGGGAACGCATCTTGTCTCGTTTAGGTCGTGGCACACATTTGACAACACTGTCCCAAAATATTAGTATATCATCGCAAAACCACCACTGAATGAGCTGCTCTTGATATTCTTAATAGTAAGTTATATTAACACCATCTTTATTTCTGCTCTCTGTCCTGACCCCGTCATTTCTGTCCCATTGGAGCAATGGTTGTCACCTGTGTGGCTTTGTTTATACATACATGTCAACCTCTTCAGACGTCTACCTGTGTAAAAAGCCTCAAAAATCTGTAAATTTGGAAGATGGCTATTTGATTTTATTTATTGTTTTTATATCATCCTACAGGCTCTGACATGTTAGATAAATTTGAAAATAAGATTTTGAAAAAATACATAAAACTTGAAAAAATCCATGAGATTGCTCTATCCGTCCGTATACCTGCAAAATGACGTAAAATCCTTATAGCTTACGGACAATCAGTACAAGTTAGTTGACATGTAAGTTTAAAGTCCACGTGCAAAAAACACAACGTGAATGCAAACTGTACAAAAGGAAAAAAATAAAGTCCGCTATTTGGTCCAGACTAAACAAGTAGACCAAAGGACCTTCCTGGTGTGAATATAACGAGGCAGAAAATCAACAACTCCTCCTTCTGTTCACTGATTGGCCTGGTTGAAATTCTACCGGAGAAATCCTTGTCTATTGGAGAAACCCCGGATGGAGCAAAGGAGGGAAAACTGAGAGGAACTGCATCAGAAGGAAACTGGGCCGGGCTCGAAAATGTCAAAAGAATGTTTAAAAGGTGTTGACGCAATTACTGCAGAAAAATTTCAACATTATTTTGTAATAATCTAAAAACAAATGCTTACATTTGCTAATACAACCTGTATAAGACGTATAACAGTATTGAAGAAATTTATTAGTCAGGTTAGTACTTATTTCAAAAGAACTACACCATTTTCTTAGTTTTCCTTTTGAAATATTGACTGTTATAATCTATTGTGTAACTGTTGTTATGTCTTGATTAAAATAGTTTGTCCGGAACATTTATTCAACACATAAAATAAACCGTTAATCAAACATTATGTGATGAGTTTTGTCTGCGATTCAGCCGTAGGCCAGTAGTGGGCGGGCCAGGCATCGAAGACAACTGTGTAAAATGATAGTGCTGGTTTCCTGCTTGCTTTGAAAAGCATTAAACCATCGTTCAGATCCAGATTCTGGTGTTTGTATAGTCTTCATTTCCTCCTACGATTCGGTTTGCGTGTTTCTCGTCTCAAATTCAGTTACTGAACACTGAGTTTTCTTACAGTATGATCAGACACGCTAAAGCTGCTGCTAGCATTGTGCTCACCATTGTAACCATACACCTGTATCCCTCGCTCCCTCACTGCTAACTTAAAAGCAGTTTAGAGGCAGACAAAAATGCAGAACCCAACAAATACATAGTTGCTGTGTAAAAACTGTAAATCGCATCTTATAAGTTCTCCGGAGGACAGAAAACACTGATGAATTTTTATGGTATAAAGAGAGTTTTCTCTGTCTTAGTGCTACCAAAACTCAAAGCATTATTCTTAACAGGTGTATAATCTGCAAGTTCAGAGCTTCGCAAGGACATACAAATGTCTGAACAGTAGAAGGAGCTTTAGTGCTTAAGATTCCTCACTGTTTTTGTTTTTCCTTGAACACCAT